TCAGAGAAGGACTCCTTCTCTACCCGTGCTCCCGGGTTTGTCGGTCTGCAGCTCAGTGTTGGTGAATTGTCGGAGGCTTCAGCTTCCGACTATGCCACACATGATGGGCAGCTGGCCTCTCAACCAGCACAGCTGGAGTTGAGACAGCTGGCTGCCTGGCCCGGCAAATCAGTGGACCAGGTGGTGCTCGATCCCAAAGAGCACCACAGGATGGAGAGAATGTTGCACCTCTCCATCCAAGTTCTGTCATACATAGACTTCCTGACAGTTTGTCTATACAGGGTATCCGATTTGCCTGAGTGTCGGTTATCCGAGACAGAACAGCCGACATACAGGACACGGCAGCCTTGCAGTTTTCAGTTCTGAAATTCCGCCCAGTCCAGTAACCCTACCGTTTTCGCTTGTTGAATGCCCCCTTCTAGGGCTCTACCCTGTTCAGGGGAGCTCTTCCTTGGGTTCAGAAGGATATGAAGGAGGACTCGGTCGCCTCAGCACTTCTGGTGAAGAGGTTTCAGGCTGAGAAGGCCAGTGCCTCGCAGGGGTCAGTGCCTCCTAAGAAGAAGGCGAATTCTTCGGCTGCTCAGTTTTCTGCACAGCCCAAGTCCCAACCTCACTTCAACGGCAACAAGGGGAAGGGTAGGAAGGGTAAGAAACCTCCTGGGGGCAAGAAGAAGGGTTCCTGACTATTTCTGCTTCTTGGCCGCGAAAGGCGAAGGGTATGGCCGGGTAGACGGTGGTTCTCCTGTCCTGGGCTCATGTCCTTCTCCCGCAGGCTCAGGCTCCGGGTGGGCAGACGATTCTCTGGTCTGGCAGGGGCTCGATCTGCCCCATCCGGAACTCCCTGTGGGCGGACGTCTCTCTGCTTTCCTTTCCCAGTGGCAGGATATTACAGAGGACGCTTGGGCTTTTGTCGGTGGTCAGGGAGGGTCTAGGTTTTCCCCTTCTTCAGGATTCGTCCCTCGCCTCCTGGCCGTTTTTGTTTCTTTCCTCCTCCCGGGGATTCAGAAAGGGCACGGGTGCTCCAGGAGGAAGTAGGGACCATGCTGCCAAGGCAGAGATGCCCTTGGGGCTCACGACAGCTCCTTTGGTGTTCACCAAGTTGCTGCTGGTGTTTCCTTCACTCACGCAGAATAGACGTCCACATCTATTTCGACGACTCCCTCATGCCTCTTTTGGTGTGGGAATCGTTAGTGAAGGACACTCGTCTGGTCCTGAAACTCTTGCTCAGAGTCGGCTTCATTCCTTCCAGAGAGAAGTCAGAGGTTCCTTCATATTAGGACTTCTTCTTCCTGGGGAACCATTTTGACATGGTTCGGGGCTTAGCCCTTCCACCTCTTGAGAAGTTTGAGAAGGTCAGGGCTCTGGCTCTGACTTTCATCACTTGGTCGCTTGTCCAGGTACATTGGTTCCTCAGTTTTCTGGGGTATCTGAACTCCTTGGCATATGTGGTCCCCCTAGGGAGGATTCACATCGGACATCTCCAGATGTTCCTCCTGTCTGACTGGGTTCCGTCATCCAGGAGCCTGGATCCCGCTTACCCAGTCGGTCAGGGAGTTCTCTTGCTGGTGGACCATTCAGGAGAACGTTTTCCACGGGGTACCTCTGACCAAGCCTATCCCCTCTATGATCCTGTTCATGGACGCGTTCATGACAGGAATGTGAGCTTACCTCGATGGCCAATGCTGCTTGGGGGAGTGGTCTGGCGAACAACTCTCGGAGCACATCAGTGTACTCGAGATGAGACTGTTCATTTGGCTCTGCAGTCCTTTAGGGGTATCCTGCAGTCCAAAGTGTGGCTACCGACAACAGTTGTCGCGTATCTGGAGAGACAGGGGCCACCAGGTCTCATGTCCTGTGTGCCCTCTCCATCCACATCCTTCTTCTCTGCCAGGACATGCAGTTGACCATAGCGGTCAAGCATCTTTCTGGCAGGCTGAGTGTGTTGGTGGCCACTCTCCAGGCGCCACCAGCCGGTGTTGACGGAATGGCAGCTGTGTCCCTTGATTTTCAAGGGGAATTGTCAGGCGTGGGACAGACCTATTATAGACCTGTTTGCCACTTCCCTGAACAACCAGCTGCTAACCTTCGTCTCCCCGGTCCCAGACCGTAAGGCGTGGGCTGTGGACGCCCCTTCTCTGGAATAGGAAGGGACGTATGCATATGCATTCCCTCCCTTCAACCTGGTGGGCAGGGTTCTACAGAAGTTCTGGGAGCATCACTGCTCCTTACTTCTGAGAGCCCCTCTGTGGCCGAGGCAAGCTTGGTTTCAGGAGCTCTTGTCGTTTCTGGTGGAGGAGCCCTTGGCTCTCCCCACCAGACCGAATCTCCTTCGCCAGCCTTGGCCCAGAACGACACACTCTTGACCAGAGATCCTCCACCTTCACGCGCTGAGGCTATCTCTGGAAGCCACGCCAAGGCAGGCTTTTCTCAAGAGGTGTCAGATTGCATTGAGCAATCAATCAGGGCTTCCTCTACTGCCGTCTACCAGTCACGTTGGATGATCTTCTGTGATTGGTGTGTCGGCAAGGAAGCTTATTCATTCGAAGCCTCTGCATTTGATTGCGGACTTCCTAATCTCTCTGTTTAGGTACTGCTATCTGCCACCTGGCACTATTGCTGGCTATTGTACAGCCATTGCCAGAGTTCTTGCTTGTTATGGCAGGAAGGAGATCGGTTAGTCCTCCTCTCTTTCTGCCCTAATCAGAGGCTTTGCTATGAATAGAGTTGTTTTTAGCGAAGAATCAGGTTCCGGGGTTCTCGCACGATCCCATCAGGATCCTGGCTGTGACTAGCTCGGAGGAGCGAGATAGGTTGCTTTGTCCTTGTCGGGCTCTTAGGTTTTATCTTGATAAAACCAGGGGGGGGCGGGGTTCTCGATCCCGTCTGTTTTGCCGATTAAACAGGGGCAACGAGATATCTCCTCCCAGTCGGTTTCCAGGTGGGTTTGCCAGGTGATTTAGTATGCTTACGAGCATTTTGATGATCTGGCTCGGGCGAGAGCGAAAGCGCGGTCTCACGAGGTCAGGGCCCTTGCTTCATCCTGGGCCCTTCTCTTAATGAGTCCTCCTTTCAGGAGGTCATGTCTGCAGTATACTGGCAGGGCAGGGATACCTTAACAGATTTTTATCTGTGATCCCTAGCTTCCCACTCAGAAGGCCTGTATTCATTGGGACCTTTGGTGGTGGCATAGTCAGTGGCTGGGCCTCCTCGTTAGCCCCGGGCCATGTCTTTCCGTACGGCGGCATGTGGGTATACCTGCTCTTTCACAGAGAGGTCCCTTCCTTCACTTTAGCACTCTGTTCTCCCTCCCTACTACTTTGGTTGTGCTGAAGGGGCTGCCTGGCTTCTAGTCACCACTACGGTAAGACGAATTCGCATACTAAAGTTATGGTAATTATTACTGAAATGAAATTGAGGTTTTTTAATGTAAAACCAATTTTCATGATGTAATACTTACCATAACTTTATGGAGTCCCACCCTATCCTCCCCTCTTCCTTATCTGCCTGGCTGCCCCTCTGTGGGGTTTACGCCATAAAGGTTATTAGAGGAAGGGAGATCACTCTGCGTTCCTGCCGTGATGGCTCATGGATCGTAGGGAGGGCGGGATTGTTTTTCTTTTGAATCTTTTGTTGTTGGGATACAAAGATGGGTGTAGGTACTGTATTTGCATACTAAAGTTATGGTAAGTATTACATCATGAAAATTGGTTTTACATTAAAAAACCTCAATTTACAAAAATTTGCACATGGACTAGATTTTTGATGGTGTAGTTGACAATGTGCTTCAGTTAACAGTATCAACAATTTCATTGTTTTCTTGCTGAGCATTTCTGTGATTGTAACTCTTGAAGTCTTGGGTAGATTTCAACTAAATTTTGCATGGATTATCATCACAAATCACAGATTTCACATTAGTGAATTCCGTCTTGGTTGACCAATTTCCCAGACATTTTCACACGAAAACATATATTGAAGCTAGTATCTTGATCTTGGAAAAGTTGGCAATTTGGGTGAAAATTTAAGCACAGCAACTCTCTCTTTTTTAATCGTGAAAAATATCCCCAAAATGTTCTCCATCCAAGCATACCAGAAGACTGTGGTTACTTAACAGTTTTAAGCTTGTAAAATCAAAGGAAAATTCAACATTTGTTTCTTAATATCCAAGTATCATACTTTTACTTTTAAAAGAAAGACAAAAATTTGTCTTAAAAAAGGTTGTTGTGAAAAACACTAAGACTGTCTGTTATTTTGGAAAATATTCAGAATAATATATGGAAAAGAATTCTTTCCTGTTTGACATATCTTGAGGTTTGTATCAGCAAGTATTGATTTTTTGCTTTTAAAGCACTCAATAAATCCTAACTTTTCAAAAATTTTGAAGAAGTACATCCTTAAGTATAGTCTAACTTTGAATGATCTTGGTATCTGTGATGAGATCTTAATAGTATTGTAGACCACTCTCTCATCACAATACAATAGATAAAGGATTACAGAATTTACAAACTCAATAAACAAGATTGAAAAGTCAGAATAATTTCCAAATCTATCTCAGCTTTATTATCTGACCTTATCACTAACAAATTCTAACTACTTAATGTCTGTGAATGGGATAAAAGATTGCCAAAAACAAAATTTATAGATATTGAAGGGTGTGTGAGAGGACAGGATTTGTGTGGACAGGTGGATAGGCTTACAATAGTAAAAGTAGGACCAAGTAGGGAGTGATGGGCATTTATTAAGCATGGTATAACAGAGCATATTGTTTGTTGACCCACTCAAAAAAATCAATATCTGATAAGGTAATCAATGAATGCTCTATAAAACAGATCAGGCATACAAAAACTTCCTTATGCAAAAATGTCAAACTTGTTTAGAGAAAAGCATACAAACTAGCATTGAGAAATAAACAAAGGATTAGTTTATTCTATCAAAATGCATAAGAAAAAATTTGTGTTACAGATATCTCTGAAGAATAAATCACATCAGTAAAATGAACCTACCTGTAAAATTTTGTCATGAACCTGAAGTCCGCACCTGGCAGCGGGCCCACCCTCATGAATGTAAGTGACATATATACCCTGGAAAACAAAGACGGTACTGATGTTGTACAAATGGTTCTCTATAATTGCTAATCATTCTGTACCTACAACTATAAAGTTGTGAACCATGACAATAGGTTGTATTGAAGAATTACTGGAATTATGATCAAAACTATTTCATTGCAGTAGTGAGAGTTATTATAAAATGAATACATATATGCAGAATATTAAGTTTGAATGTAATTAATTAATGTGAAATCTTTCTCAAAAAAAAAAATATTGAATCAATAGTATTGTTGTACAAAAGTCTACATTTTATACATGTTTATAGATAAAACGTCCACATTCATGTGTGTTACAGGAGAGCTTAGTGCATAGTGTTCTTTCAGAATCTGGGTAAAACTGAATCATTAATAATTTATTAACTTTAAAATTAACTATCAAAAGCTTAACCACGTAATTTCATCAAAGAAACATTTAAGCAGTTATTGCTTGTCATGCATTATAATTTTCTGTTTACTCAAATTTTAAACCATACAAACACATATACATACCAGGTAAACTCATTCAAGATAATTTAAACTCTGCATGAAAAATTCATGTATCTTTAAATTACACATCCCTTCATATCACAGCCCTGGAGCTCACACCCTGACTATACTGGTATACGTATCATAAAACTATGGAAGGTTAATAGGGCCTGTATCACTCACTTGGCTTTGCTGTATCCAAACTAAAGGATTTTTTAATGATTTGCAAATTCACCCCCTTGGGACTCTTCCCCTCTCAAATTTGTACAAAATACTATCACTTGTACTGGATAAGGATATCAGGGAATGTGCTACATATCCCCTAATGGGCCCTGCCCTTCCCTTTCAAGAGGACCAGCACCAACCAATTGTGCAACACTGATTCCTCTTCACCCTAGGACACTTAACACTAAGTTAGGACAGAATCCTGGCTTTCCTACAGAAGGATTAGAATAATTTGGTCAATTTCTTCTATTGGGCTCAACCCCTCCCATCCCAGAAGGAGGGGACCCATTGTTTATTCAAAGTTGAATTCCCTTTACAAAGAATGCTTCAGACCAAATTGGGACACAATTCTGGTTTACCTACTGCAGAAGTAGTATTTTAAAGAACTTACTCTATAACCCATATTTCGCCATGCCCTTACCATCCTATCTGCATAAAAAGTATCCTGATATAATTTATGCATGGGTTTATTTATGCCAAAGATTTGGTAATAATGTCTTATTTCAGTGTGTCACAACTTCACCATTGAAAAACTACTTATATATATACCTGAACAACTTTGCGTAAGTTTTTGTTCCAATCATTAATTACTGACAACTATACTAATGAGATTTGACTTTATTCTATCATGTTAAATACATTAAAAAACAGAAAACAATGATATTTTATTTTCTTAAAATATATTTTCAAAGTCATCATCACTGCAAAATGCATTTCTATAATTAATTTGACAGTCACTGCAGAAACTATTGTGTATATATCTTTGAAACCACTGTTCATGATTAATTTAAATTCCTGCCAGCAAATGTTTTCTTAGCTATGAAGTTTTTGAAATGATATTCAATACCAACAGATATTCGTTCACCTTCAAGCCTGTGTCTGACATTGGGCTCAAAAGTTCAAATAGGACACAACTATTTTGTAACTGTTCCAAGACTCAATATACAGATACTACAACCACCCTATTTCATGTGTTTTTATCAGCACACAACAAGACCGTGTAAATAACTCATTTTGATAAGTGACACTTAAAACCCAGATTGTACTTTGTACCCAGTTAAAGTTTTCTCTGCCACACTTCCAACAAGTGAATGATAAAGCTCTTTTTCTTCCCCTATTGAAATAACGATGGCTTTCAGTCAAAAGTAAATAACATATGTAAATTCTAATTTTCTAGTGGCTAGTCTTAGGTAAGAATGGGCCCAATCAGCCTAACAAACTAGAGATGTCTGGTAGACCTGGCACCTCATGTCTCTCATTTACAAGTCTAAAGTGTGCCTCAATCCCTTATTGTATGCACCTTCTACACTCAACCCAAACCCATCAAATAATTTTGCAGTTTTAGCAAACAAGATCATTTTAAAGACACTTTTTAAAAGCTTCAGCATGACACGAAGAATGTGGAAATGTAAATATCCAATATAAATATATGTCAGATTAACGTTACACTTAGAATTGTACCACTACAATTCATATACAGGCGAAGGCCTCACAATGTACACACTTTCCCTCGACATTTTACATGGCATGTTTGACAGAAGTAGAAAATATAAACAACTAACAATTGTTAAGCTTACAAGTGAAAAAAATATTATTGTTAAATATTCTGATAGATCTTTCATTTATCTTAATATATCCAAGTTATTCAAAACATATTAGTGTGTGTTTTATGTCATAACATTTAAATATAGAAAAATCATTTAAATATCTTGGTAAAATTAGTATTTATCATTGTAACAATAATGACACTCTATGCAAAATTTGTGATAGGAGAAAATCAGTGAAAGTCTGTCAAACAGAACAAATTTAAAATGATTATGAACAGATCCATAAATGATAGTTCAAACATATGAAGGGAGGTAAGCCAATATCAACTCGTGTAATACCAGGCAATTACACCCAATAACAAAAACATACCCATTTAATTACATTAATTTTAGGAATAACATTAATTGAGCACACATAATATATTAATGTAAAAATATTTATGAAGTAGGCTATTTTATTTCAAATACATATATATGACTTGATATATCCTTGTCCTGAATTCATGTTGTCACTTCTACAAAGAATCTCGATAAGACATTTTATGTAAATATTTGAAAGAGCTTACATTGAAAGCAACATTTAAAATTAAAATGTCACACAACTGTGCTTCAATAAGAAGACATGTAATATAATGCAGCTTTGCTTGCATTGGTAGAATTGCATACAAAATTCTATGTCACACTCAGTAGGCAAATACAATTGGTAACATTTACCTTCAAGTCAAGTGAAGGCAGCTGCAAACAATTAACATATGGATTACTTCTTCATATTCAGTTCAATATCTTGACTTTTGTTTTATTAACATGGGTGAAACAGGTTGCTACACTAAAATATATGTATCATGTACCTTTACATTTGATATTCTTTTAATCTTCTGCTAAGGGGAAAGAAACCAAATCCAATCTATTGTACCAAATTACAAAAAAAGTGGAGATTTTTATCTTTCTGGTTTCTGCTATGTATTAGCATTGAATTCACATGCCTATCATTTTACACTCTGTAACCCCATATATATGGCCTTGTTGATAAGCTTTTGAGACTTAAATCCCCTCTCCCTCCCTCCCAAAAAAAGGAAAGAAAACAAAAAAAAGAGATTAGTATACATTATGAGTAATTTGATTTGCATACAAGAGATCTCAGACAGAACTTGGGGCCCACCAATGTTTGATCTTATATGCTCTTTGAAAGTTGGAACTTTTCCCTTCTTTTCTCTTATCTTCTCCGTTTTTGCTCTTAATGATAAGACATGTGAACATTCCTTTTCAGAAACAGAGATGACAATCTTTACCCGCCAAATCCAAACTGGCCACCTTGAAGCCATTTTGTTACTTCTGATCAGACCCAAAATCAAACAAGCACAAGGAGAGACCAAAGGGATCATATGTATGAAAATTGATAGATATCCATTCAGTACTTACTAAGAAATAGCAATTCCAATCTTTACTTGGCAAAATCCAAGATGGCTGTCTGTCAGCCATTTTGTTTTCCTGATCAGTACTAAACTCAAACAGGCACAACAAGGGACCGAAAGAAACCTATATAAGAAGACATTTGAGAAAGATCCATAGAGTAGTTTGCTAAGAGAAAAGCACTTGAGTTCCTAAAACTGCAGGAGTCTATTTACCTTGTCAGAATATCCATAAGGACATTTTGTGTTATCCTGGTCAATACCTCCACCAATTTTAAATCCACAGCGGTGTCTAGGATTGCCATCTTGTCCAAGGACTGGATTCCCTTCATCATCCAAATCAGGATCTTTGTTCAAAACTAACGGAATCTACAACATATTCATTTGCTTGGTAAACATTGTTTTCAAATGATACATATAGCCTATTCAGCTAACAACTTCTTGGAAATTCCAATGCAGATACTGCTGAATTTAGAAATTTCAAACCTGCATACACTACAGTGAAAGTATTTAGAATTCATACTTGGTGTTGCAGTTTCTTTACAATTCCTACAAGATAATAACAAAAAAAGTGTAATATTTTCAAGTGTATGTCACTACAAAGACTTCGAATCATTGTAATATAACTTGAAATGCTACCCTAATGATTTCAGAACAGAGAAAACTTTTCCAATGTAAGCATATTCTTTATCTTATATATGGTACCATATTTCACTTGTATGTCAGTACAATTAAAATATTATCTGCCATACATATAAAATGTATCATTTTCACTAAGAAACCATTAGATATTCTCTTTTGAAATGCTACTTGGATATTCTAAGGACTATTCACTACTCAAAGGTTAAGAACTTAAATAGTACTAAAAGCAAACATGTACTTGTCAACTTTCAAATTAAAACTGGAAAGAATAGTTGGCAAGAATTATTACATATTGTCTTAATTTAATTATATAATGCTTTTTATTGCATATTTGAACTTTCTACTATGTACCATACTTGCCAACAATTGAGTTCTCAGTTCAGGAGAAAGTTTTACCATGAATGATCAGTCTTATATAAACACCAAATCATTGTTTCTCATGTTGAACCCTTCATCCATCAGATCATAAAACAATCACCACAGACTTCAAAAATATGATGTGATACAATCATTATAATGTATCACTTGTACAACAAATTATTAATCTTTACTTTTCTTATAGTTACATGTATATGAAATTAAGGAAACAGCCAAAGAAATTTTACATATATGGTTACCAAAGACATGAATTCACAAGCTGAAAACTGACATGGATTATATGTACATGTCAAACATTGACATAATTCTCATATGTTAAAAGTCACTTCTTGCAGATTCAAAAGTTGTGTATTTACTGATATTGTAGTGTTATAAAGGATATAGAAAGTTTGTTAGATTTGAAAATCTTTAAATAAGCCTTACTTTAAAATGAAATACCAAATATCGGCCATTTGGTTTGACTGAGAGAAGAAAGACAACTCCTTCATCTACTACACCCCAATAATGTCTGTATAACATGATGTAATTATAAAAGCAATACTCAGATATATTCAGGTCTCTGACATATTGGATAAATCGACCAGCCACCAATATCATTTCATTTACATATTGATATATGGCCATCATCTCAACTGACAACAGGATAATCTCAAATTGCTGCTTTTATCTCAAAGTTAGCCATATACAGAGGTTTTTTCATTATCTGTCTAATTTCTGCCTCCCAAAATTTTGTTAGACCTAACTACAGCTATTTGTGATCTTCAATAAACATGTATTTAATCAATAAACTTGCTTATTAATTGTTATGTTACATCTTGAACATCCTTTATGTGTATACAACAACCTTAAAATAGTTATAATGGATTGAAAGCATGTTATAATCACAAATGTTTTTAACAGATTCTTGACTGAATGAATCTCTGAGGTGATGTACTGCAATGTCTAAGCACGTTTTTTTAGTGGAGAAATAAAAGAAATGTCTGATCTCTTTGAATCCATCAATATAAAATTTATTATAGCATCAGCTCTTGAACTCACTCACTTCCTTGGAATGGTTAAGGGCTAACAAAATTGGACAAGAGCAATGAGGAGAAGAACAATATACATGGAAGGTCAGGTGGTGCAGTGGTAATGCACTCACCTTACACCTAGACGTCCGGGGTTCGACTCCTGGAACAGACGTGAAAAGGTAAGGGTCACTTGCCCAACCACATGGATTTTCCCCAGGTACTCCAGTTTCCTCCCACAATAAGACCCTTCACACGCTTACATCCGGGCCAATAAGAGTGATAAGTTTAAGTTGAAATAACTTGTATCGCAATTGTTGTAAAATGAATAAAGTTCATAGTTTTAACAATATACATCCATTCCAAGCAATATTCAGGACTTGTTGTATTGATACTAATAAGTCAAAATGTCAAGAGCTTCAAACGTAATATACATGTGGATGTAAGACACAAGAACTCATTACAATATACATATGCTATATTAATCTTATCTTACAACATGCCCCTAATCTGTGGTGAAGACAAGAAAATAATCTCTATAAACTGTATAAACCAAAGTTTTCCCCGAATCTCCAAAACCTGAATTTTGATCCCTTGATTTAACAAGCACAACAAAACTGATAAAATCATGTACTAAACATAGTAGTGTGATGTCAGTAAGAACATATAACAAGAGGTCTAGCGGTCTTGATGGTCACCTGAGATAAGCAACAAGAGGTCTAGTGGTCTTGATGGTCACCTGAGATAAGCAACAAGAGGTCTAGCGGTCTTGATTGTCACCTGAGATAAGCAACAAGAGGTCTAGCGGTCTTGATGGTCACCTGAGATAAGCAACAAGAGGTCTAGCGGTCTTGATGGTCACCTGAGATAAGCAATATTGAATATAAAGGTTAAAGGATAGTTATTAAGTGTTATGAAACAGAAATTATTTCTTATAAAGTTATTTCCAGTGGGAACTGACCAATGTTATGCTCAAAAATGCAATTAATTTTTCTATGAAAAGTTATAAAAGTGAGACCTATTTTGGTAATTAAAGATCCTGAAGATGCTTCAATTCATACAGAGCATTTGATTCTACCATACCAGGGTGTTGAGAAAAAGATTTTTAAAACTTAAGTCAATTTGACCCCTTTTGGCCCCGCCCACCAGTCCCTCAGGGTCAGTCAGTATCATTATGGGCATACCATCATGCCATCATCCTTCATTCATAATTCTCACCAAGGTTGAAATATTTCCAATGAATATAAAACAAATTATACTCAAAAATCTAGTTTTCCTAGTAAACTTTACCCCCCTCCCCATGGGGAAATATGAGATCCTGGGGTCATGAAATTTGCTTTTTTTGTAAAGCACTTTAAGATGCTTCCATTCATGAAGAGTATAAGATTCTACCATATCTAGGTGTTGAGAAGAAGATTTTTTAAATTCAAGTCAATTTAACCCCTTTTGGTCCTGCCCCTCGGGCCCCTGTGGTGCAGGGATTGTATAATTCACAATTCATCTTAGGCAAGGGAAGGTTTCTGCAAAATTTCATTGAAATTGGATCAGGAGTTTTTGAGAAGTCAAAAATGTTAAATTGTTTACAGACGCAAAACGCCCGTTGAAGGTGATTGCAATAGGCCACCATGAGATTTTTCTCAGGTGATCTTATAATTGCTAAAAAAAAAAAATAGCCTGCATAACATACAAAACAAGAGGCCCAGAGGCCCATAAGTTCCACATTTAACAAATTTGACCCCTGTGACCTTGAAGATTGGTCAAGGTCATTTCTTTTAGCAAACTTTGTAGGACACCATAAAAGGAACATAGTAGCCTAATATAATGATTCTAGGCCTTCCGGTATTTAAATTGAAGTCATTTAAATGTTTTAAAACATTTGACTTCTGCAACCTTGAATATGGGTCAAGGTCATTTCTATTCGCAAAATCTGTTGGGCTATATCAAGGGAACCTACAAGCCATATATAATGATTCTAGGTCTTCCGGTTTTGGAAGAAGTCGTTTAAAGGTTTTAACGCATTTGACCTCTGTGACCTTGACTATGGGTCAAGGTCATTTCTTTTTGCAAACTTTGTTGGGCTTCATCAAAGGAACCTTCCAGCCAAATATAATGATTCTAGGCATTCCGGTATTTTGGAAGAAGTCGTTTAAAGGTTTCAACACATTTGACCTCTGTGACCTTGAATATGGGTCAAGGTCATTTCTTTTTGCGAACTTTGTTAAGCTTCATCAAAGGAACCTTCCAGCCAAATAAGATAACTCTACGCCTTTCGGTATTTCAGAAGAAGTTGTTAAAATGAAAAGTTGACAGCCCCAGGATGGACGGATGACGGACGAACAGACGACGGACGCCGCGGTATGGCATAACCTCACTTGGCTGCTTGGGCTAAAAATTATGTTTACAGGCAACTTTTATTGTGATTGTAATGAGTGTAGCTGGGGCTGCCCAACAGGGGCTGCTGGTTAAGTCAGCCCTAAAGATAACATGCGCAGAGAAAAAATATTGAAAAAATTCACATATAGTATAAGTCATGAAGTTGTGACATGGAATTCCAAGTAAAGCTTTCTCATAGTAGGTCATAAATAACCTTGCTATGTTTGTCAAATTTGTAAGGCTAACCACCTGGCCACAAAATAAAGGCCTAGATAGGTGAGTACACTGCCCAATTATCTAATTAGTATTGCCCAATTCAAGTTAATCCTAATTGACAGCTAATTTGGGAGCACACTTGTACACGGCCAATTGTTCCCTACCTAATTAATGGCAGACCATTGTTCAGGACTAAGAGGTGGACCCTGGTTAATGTTTGGTTAAGATGAGGTCATTTTACAGATAATTAAGTAGTTATTACCATGTTTATACTAGGTTTATACTACTAATTCGGTCAAATAACAAATTCAACAAGAAAATGGTTTGAAAAACAATCTTTATTATGTAAGCATTCCTCAGTCAATACCAATAATTTAACCACATCAGTTATTAAAAAATTACTAAGTTGGCATCATGAGTAAAAAATCAGATAAAACAAAAATTTCACTCACTGAAAAGTTGACTAAACTTTCTAGTATGTTTGGTTCTCCTCAAAAATGTGATAATCGTTAAACAGGAAGTAGCTACACTTAGGCAAAAAACAGAAGGGATCCGGACCAAATTTCTGGATTTGTATCTGTCTATGGTTATTTTCTAAATATATATTTCACAGTTAAAGGGGCTATTTAGTCAAGCAACATTTTTTCCTTTCAGCTGGAAATGAAAATATATGTGTCTAGACTAACAAATCTGTACATAATAGTTTCCTCCTACATAGCCAATGTCCAGTGTGGTCAGTTCAAAATCTGGGAAAGCCCTGCCAAAAATAGCGATAATCCAAATATTGCGCAAAACGCTGCGCACTCTGGCGGGAAGAAGGCTGTTTGTAAACAAATGCATGCCATGAACACACTTCGGCTGGGAAGCCATTTTTGTTTAGTCAATTTATCGTGTCTACAGACGATTAGGATTTCCCCATATAATTAATTAAAACACCAATGGAAAACATGCGCTTGTATTAATATGTCAGTGAGGATAGTTCATAAGGATTATAGAACTACATTTTTACGAATGAATTTGTAACAAGAAAAAAAAATAAGCCTCTTTAATACAAAATTTCAAATATCATGGACCATTAGATCTAGATTAAAACATTTTGAATTTTATGAAAGAATTTATTTCATCTATCTTTTTTGCCTCTATCTATTTTAATAAAATGACAGCTTTAAACTTAAAATTTCCGCAGATGATTAACATTATTTTTCCCTTATTTAAATTAAAAAAATTCTTTCAGAAGCCTCATATTTGGAAAGGCACATCCTTGCAACCTTTACTAACAACCAAACAGATAATCACCAATCTTGATATCTGTTCTATTGTGCGAGTTCTGGGAATTTAAATGAATACATTTCAACTTGAACCTTACTTGCAAAAAAAGCAAATATTTTTTCACTGTTATAGTATAGTAAAGCATGCACTTTATCAATTTAAAGTTATCTAGATGTATAGATTATATATCCATTAATTAATTTCTTTTGACAAATATCACAACGGGCAAGGTATTGAAGCAAGTCAAAAATGCTGTTCACACACTTTTCTTCCCCATGAGAATTTTTGAAAAGTTGGCAGGTACACAACATGGCAGACTTAGCAAGAAATATTCTCACTCACCAAGACACTTGATCATGTGTGCAGACAAGAGTCTGGCTGATGGAGACTATGCCATTAGTATCTAATTTCACAAACATAGAGATTGTCTGAATGGATTAACTAGTGAAAAAAATGCCATGAACTAGTTGGAAACACAACAAATACAATATTCAAGGAAGGAAGACTTTCTTAAACATAAGTTAAATATTCTGTCAAATTTATTTACCACGATGAAATACACAAGTTATAATTAATACTTCCCTGTTCCAAGTAGCTTTGCCTTTACTCATAGTATATGCATAGCTCTTTATTAACTAGAGTATTGGATTCAAATAGGAGACTAGACAGAATTTATAAGGGATATCACTCTAACAGAAAAAAAAACATGTGTATTAATCAATGAAACATTGTCTATCTTGTGTGAAACAATAACAACATTAATACAACCAGTACATTTATTATACAACTTCAAATTTAAATCAACACTGAACGAGTCCTACTTTTATTTACCTTGTTTATTATTTGTCTGAGCTCTTACAGTAATCATATATACACAAGTTAACAAATACAATAGAAAAAAGATACAACGTCCCAACTCAGGCAAAAAATTAAAACCTGCCAAGATCGTCTGAGAATGTTGTCCATTTCTCTATTTAGTTTCCAAGTAAACAAATGATCAGGTCTTTAAAGGCTTGGTCTTGGTTAACATTGACAAAATGCCAGACTCCTGGCCCCAGTTGCTCAAAGGTTAGTTAGAGTTAACCAGTGGCCATGGAAAAATTATTTTGTTGCCATACAAAATAAACAATCAAAATGTAGCAATCTGTCTCAACAAATCTACAGCTGTGAAATGATAAATTAATTTAGTTTAAAAGTTTGAACTATCTACACGTTACAATTATCACTAATCGATGAATACGTATTCGCGTGCGATTAATCAGGTAACATATGAAAAAATCAATATTCTAAAGGATCCCAAAACAAGCTACGTTTCTTAAATATTTGCATCTAGGAAACACCTGTCATGAATGATATTCTAGCAGACGATTTTTGGGCAGGGCATGGAACATTCCGAGCACAAATGACTCATATGAATATCAAATTGAGACAACGATAGAAACAACTTCCCATCTGTGAAAGATGTATTCAAAGAAGCAGCTTAATGATGATTAATCTTTAAACATTAGCGGCATACGACAGAAAGCACTTACACTGTAGCATTCCAAGGGATCACCTGCCTTATGACCCGCCATATTTGTTATTAAATCTCATAAATACCGTCTTAGCGAGAACTACCAACAGAGAGTGTTTAATAAAAACTAGATAGGGATAGCAAGTATTTCACCAAAAAACTCATTTTCCTGTTTGAAATTTTTTGTTGTGATAATTTTCATATTGTTTTTAAGTCTCGCTTGTCCGAGAAGTACGTCACTGTCAATGGCGGCTCCTTTGAAACATGTGAGAAGAGAAGAAGTCGAATTGACTGAGTGTTTTTCTTATCTTTCTGTTTTCACCTGTTAAAATGGAGACCTTAGATAATTGGTACAGGCGTGAGGTATATATTTTTGTGTTTTATTTCGTCGTTGATAGGCAAGCTGTCTTCATACCATTCTCTAGTGTTGCTTTTTTGTTTTTACTTGTTCGCCGTAACCACTTGAGCACTTCTAATTTTGTTCCTGTATCGCCAGGACATCGGTTCCGGACCATGAAGTATTTCCGAACAGTCAAATTTGCGAGTTGTATCAGATAAACTATTGATATTCGTGACCTTGCACCCGGATAATTTTGGTTGTTGTAACATGTCACACTTCCAGAAAGAATAAAAAAATTGTGATTTAAACAATTCACCACAAAATATTAAGATTTCATTGACAAATTTGTGTATTTTTTACTTAATACACATTTTTACATGTCAAATATCCTTTCAGATATGATGAAATAAGCTATCAATCCATCCTCGGTCGCCAATGTTTTGCTGTTGTCTCTCATGTGAATAAATATCAACCATAAATAATTAAAAGGCCACACCGTCTAATTTTTTGCTACAGAAGTCCAAACTTGCACGTCTTATATTGAAAAAATGATGATTTGTAAGTTATCACTTTTGACGATTCAATTCTGATTTTTCTGATAAAAAGTTGTAGACAGAAAGATGAAAAAATTACTTTATATACATAGTGTTTGTTGTAAAAAAGAAGTTTACCACGAAATATGGTTCATTTGAGAAAAAAGGATCAAACAATAAAAACTTTAATCCAACCCTTAGAAAAGGTGCATACGTAAGCGTAGCTTATGGTGAATGATCACTTTCAGATACTTGGCATTGCTGACATCCTCAAGAGTGTGGCTATGTAATGTACAACCTGTCTTGAGTGGGTAGTCTCTTGTTGGTCACGTGGATCACCATATACTTTTGTGGGTGGAACTCCATCTGCCACTTGTGTTCCCAATGTTGGGAGTGTTATCAGATACTCTTGTAATCGTTTTGCATCAACTGGGCTTGATATGTGCCTATGCAGGCAGTCATCTGCAAACAGCCATGCATCTGACTGAATGTGAGCTGGCAAATCATTTAATATATATGTTAGGAACAACAGTGGCTCTAGCACTGCCCACTGTGGCACTTTCGAAATGACATAGCTTGGCTAGATGTTATACCATCTAGGTTGATGTACTGCGTCCTCTTTGTCAAGAAGTCTTTGATTCATAGCCATGTGGTCCCTCGCACCCAGTAGTAAAGCTTGTGTAGTAAGCATTGGTATGACACCTTTTCAAACGCAGTAGAGAAGTCAAGTAGAATTTGTTGATGTCAACTTTGATAGTATGTACATAATTTTCTCTACGGCTTGTCTGAACTTGGTCCAAAGTCAGTGTCTCCAGTATCTGCTATGTCACCATGAAGTGCTATCCTGATAGTATCAATGTTTGCCTTTTTCCATTGCTTGTTGATATGCCTCGTATTTGTAGATCTAAATGATCGAAGATTTAAATCGCACAAAATGATGTCATGGTCGGTTTTGCCATGGCTGGTATGTATTTTAACTGGTCTAGAAGGGAGGGATGTGAAGTAAAGAAAAGATCCAAACTGTTATCTTCCCTTGATGAAAAGTCCCCCATGTCTTGTAGATCCAAATCCTCACTAGTAGATAGGATGTTATTAGTCAGTCTGGCTGGTTATCTTCTTTCCTGAAATGATGATTTTCAACCTATGTCAGAGATTGAAATACCCACCTACATAGAAAAATGAACTGGGATGTGAGCATCTCAAATATGTGATTTTGTCTGTGAATGTCTGTAGGTATTCCTTGGTGGTCTGTAGAATGCTGATTAAATCCTAGATCTCTTATTTGGTAGATCAACTTTCACTGTGATGGATTCTGTTGCATGACGTACTTATCTTGTAATAAGATTATTCTTCATTGCTTTAATTAATAATACCTAAGTACTTCAATGTGGTTGTCTGACACCCGGTCTCGGCGATTTACAGCAAAGCTACATGTATAACCTCAGATGATGATACTGAACCATTAAGCCATGTCTCGGTACCTATTATTATGTCTCATTTGGTGAAATTAATTAAGACATCAAGTTACCCTTGTAGTTCACTTTGGTCCTGATATACTGGCAGTTGATGACAATGTTCTGTGACTGCACAGGTTGGTTTTGCTTCAGGTTTGATAGCTGGGTAGGTTGCATCTTTTTTGGTGATGATGCAATATTTTGGCTGCCTATTGAGCCTATGTGGAAGGATGTATTGGTACTGCTTGTTAGTACAGCAGACAAATCGTCTTGGCTTTGGCTGAGATGATGATATGGTACAACTGGGCGATGGCATGTTGCACAGTACCAGGATACATTTGCTAGGTTCGTGCACACTGAATCTGATAACCCTACATACTTGGCATGTTTCAACTTGTCACAAGTAATGGCTTTTTGATTCCAGTGACATGGTTGGGTGCAAACTCCTCGTGGGTATTTAATAGGTCCTGGGTTGCTCACTTCAGCCAATACTTCATGTCTAAGGCTGGCTGAATTATAAAGCACCAGTGATGTACTTTGGGATAAGTAAACAAATTCTTTATCATGTTTTTATTGTAACTGTTCTGTCTCAAAATTTAACAGCACCAAACAACCATTGAAACAGCACGATCTATGTTTTATCCACAAATTTACATATAATACAGAAACTGGCCTACAGATATATCAAACACCAATCGGGGTAAGTAGTAGTGCACATAGATTCCTTCTATTTTGTTCATTCATTTGGCCAATCATAGATCAATCTAAGGTGTTTTCTTTCCTGAACTCTTATATTACTCTGAGGTAACTATATATTTATTCCAAAATATCATTAATTGCATTGTCTTAGGCAAATTTGTATACTTATATGTTCAACACCACAAAGCAGCTGTGTGCGTTAACTAATTGCCTTGGATGGCTTATACTTTGGGACCAAAAGAAGATTGATTATGCTTGAGTATTTGATTAGGTGTACAGCTGGCGGACAGGGGCTGCTGTGGGATGGACTCTGTTGTTACAGCCTTGTGTTTTGGCGATGTACTTCATCTTCTGTACCTTGGATATATTTCACCCTCTTTCATGGATAGCAGGTATGTTGCTCTGTTACAGAAATTGCATATATACCATTTATTTGTTTCAGAGTTTCTCAAAGATACAGCAGGTGTACTACTATCTAACGTGTTACACAGCCCTGGATTTATTTCATACTTTCTCTTTATTTCATTATTTTGTGTCAAAATCGAATATTGAAACTTGCCCATCACATTTTGGCCATTGAGGAATAGGAACTGAAGTTATATATTGTAGCTATTTTTCAATTAGAATTGACCAGTTCATTATTTGCTGTATAGTGTAATTGCAAAAATTAGACATGGCGAAAAAATATTTTACATTGTGTACATGTGTATTCAATAGAAAATGCGTTAGTCATGATTGGCTCATTACCAAGCTAAATTATGATTATGTTCCTTTCTGTACCAGGTTCCTTTTCAACCTGATTTGATATCTGTGCCAGGTTCCTTTTCAATACTAATTTGTTTGCTGTGCCAGGTTCCTTTCCAATACTGATTTGTTTGCTGTGCCAGGTTCCTTTCCAATACTGATTTGTTTGCTGTGCCAGGTTCCTTTCCAATACTGATTTGTTTGCTGTGCCAGTTTCCTTTCCAATACTGATTTGTTTGCTGTGCCAGGTTCCTTTCCAATACTGATTTGTATTCTGTGCCAGGTTCCTTTTCAATACTGATTTGTTTGCTGTGCCAGGTTTTTTTTCCAATACTGATTTGATATCTGTGCCAGATTCCTTTTCAATACTGATTTGTTTTTCGTCCCAGGTTCTTTTTCAATGCTGATTTGTTTTTCGTCCCAGGTTCCTTTTCAATGCTGATTTGTTTTTCGTCCCAGGTTCCTTTTCAATGCTGATTTGTTTTTCGTCCCAGGTTCCTTTTCAATGCTGTTTTGTTTTTTGTCCCAGGTTCTTTTTCAATGCTGTTTTGTTTTTTGTCCCAGGTTCTTTTTCAATGCTGTTTTGTTTTTCGTCCCAGGTTCCTTTTCAATGCTGTTTTGTTTTTTGTCCCAGGTTCCTTTTCCAGACTGTTTTGTTTTTTGTCCCAGGTTCTTTTTCAATGCTGTTTTGTTTTTCGTCCCAGGTTCCTTTTCAATGCTGTTTTGTTTTTTGTCCCAGGTTCCTTTTCCATGCTGTTTTCTTTTTTGTCCCAGGTTCCTTTTCAATGCTGTTTTGTTTTTCGTCCCAGGTTCTTTTTCAATGCTGTTTTGTCTTTTGTCCCAGGTTCCTTTTCAATGCTGATTTGTTTTTCGTCCCAGGTTCCTTTTCAATGCTGTTTTCTGCACATTACATATTTGTCTTGGTGGTGCTTACAGTGGTGTCTGGAGTGCTGGGTATTCTGATGTCCTCCTCTTACACAGGTAAATTGTCTGGATATGTATTAAAATCAATAGGGCTTTATATGCATCATTGAAGGTTAACTGCAATTTAAATGCCATTTAATGTTTTTTCTTTTTCTTATAATGTAAACTTTATTTAATTTACAACATTGCAAAACAAGGTATCAGCTTATCAAGTGTATTAATCACTCTTGGTGGCCAGGATAAAAGTGCATAATGGATGTTACTGCTGGAGCACACAGGAGTACTCTGAGAAAACACTCTTTATACAACAGGTGACTCCTATACCTTTTCATTTCTACTTAGGGAATCAAACCTTGAACATCAAGGTGAAAGGCAAATGCATTATCACTACACCACCCAGCCACCCTTAAAAAGTGTTTTTTCAATGGCATTATCAGTTAGTTTGTTATATAGGTATTAAATCAGTTAAGAGTATCTAGTTAATTATGTAAACATGATCTTGGAAACTTATAGAATATTTTTGATTGCAGTGATTCCTGACATCCCTTTAACCCGCCTGCATGAACTTGTTCAGCTTCTATTGCCATCATGTCTTTTGCAATGCCTAATGTATCTTGTGTCGGGTGTAGTGACAGCTTGGGTGTGCACTTCCTGTATTGGAGAGCGCTACTCTTCCCTCATCATCAAATCAAATGATAATGACAGGTGAGTTTGGTGTTATACTTTGTCCTACTACCTTTGTTTTCACTCTTGCAGAAAAATGCGTTCATTTTAACCCAGTCTTAAATGCACCCTAGAATACATGTAACACATATTTCAGCTTTCATTTCAAAAAATGTAAAAGGCCAAAACTGGAAATAGCTAGAATGTAACAAAAAGTATAGATTATGGTTTATTATAAATTTTTAGCCCACCATTATCAGATCGCTCTTCGTCCATGGTCTTTCATCTGTCCATCCATCTGTCCGTAAACAATTTTTGTCATTACTATTTCTTGAGAAGCACTGGATGGATCTCTCTCAAATTTCATATGTAGGTTCCCCTTTGTCCCTTGTTGTGCCTATTTGATTTTGTGACTGATGAAAAACCCAAATGGCTGACATCTTGTATTTTTATACCCTGCGGAGGCGATCATGTATTGGCGTCATCTTCTCCGTCTGTCTGTACATCTGTCTGTATGTCCATTTCTTGTGAATGCAACTCCTAAACTAATTTTTTGTAAGATTTATGCCATTTTCAACTTTGCTCATAGTGGAGCCTTGTGAACGCAACTCCTAAAATTAATCAAGATTTTCACGAAACTTGCTCAATGTCACTACTACAATGGGTAGATGTGCATGAAGGGGCGATTTTTCGGTTCTTTGATTTTTGTAAGATTTATGCCATTTATGATCTCAGGTCCCTGTCTCTTCCAGCTAAGCTAACTGGTCTCACAGACTTCATTTTGAGCTTATGTATACAGACATGTTAAAAGCGATAATTAAATGGACCAATCTTGATCTTTATATTTTGTGGCAGCGTATATTGTGTCCACGGCACTCTTGTTAACTTTCAAAGTTTGTTAGCACTATTTCTTGAGAAATACCTTATAAATCTTTCTTAAATTTCATATATAGGTTCCTTTTGGACTGTAGTTTTTGGAGTGATGAGAAATACAAAATGGCCGACATGTCGCCATGTTAGATTTTGACTTTGAAAGTTTGTTATTGCTATTAATTGATAAGTACAGGATGGATCTTTCATTAATGTCATCTGTAAGTTCCCCTTGATCCCTCGTTGTGCCTGTTTGATTTTGGTACTGATAGAAAAAACAAAATTACCCACAAGCGGCCATCTTGGATATTGACATTGGAAGTTTGTTATCACTCTTTCTTGAGAAGTTCTCTATAGATCTTTTTTCAAATTTCATGTAAAGGTTCCTTTAGGTCCCTTGTTATGCCTGTTTGAGTTTGGGATTGATCAGAAAAACAAACGGCCATCTTGGATTTTGCCAAGCAAAGATCGGTATCCCTATTTCTTAGTAAGTACTGAATGGATATCTCTCAAATTTCATATGTATGTTCCCGTTGGTCTCTCCTCATGCTCATTAGATTTTGGAACTGATCAGAAGAAAAAAATTCCTTCCAGGCAGCCGTTTTGGATTTGGCAGGTAAAGATTATCATCGCTATTTCTGCAAAGGAATATTCACATGTCTCATCATTAAGAGCAAAAACAGAAAACAATAAATAAGGGAAAAGATCCAAATTTAAAAGAGCATATAAAGATCAAATATTGGTGGGCGCCAAGATCCCTCTGGAATCTCTTGTTAATATACCTCTTTGTTCATTTTAAGTCTTGTGAAGTTAGATTTAATGCAGAAGCGACCATTTTAATGAAACAGTAAAAATTGACAAAAGAGACAACTGGACAATTCAAATTACCATGTAAAATGTCAAGTATATTTTGAATTTCAGAGAGGTGTATTACCTGAATGAGTACCATCTATTCCTGGTGGTGTATGGTATGTACAGCGGAGTCCTGTACAACATCACAATGTTTCTTCACCAGAATAACTTGATACAGTTCCCAGTGCTTGAGGTAGAGTTACAAAGATGAAAGCCAATTATAGAGCTGCTCAATGGTCACTCAATTACCTAATATGGGATTGTCTTCTGAAAAAATAGCTTTGCTCCCTCAATTTAATAAAAAAATCTTTACGCATCATTACAAAGTGTCTGATATTATGTAGATCTGGATCTGAAGTAAAAGTTTTTGTAAGGTCTTGCTGTAGACAACACCTTGTCCAAAAGAAGTAAAAAATGTTGTACTGGGCCATTTCAAAATTTTTGTGCAGGCTTCTGTAGATAGCATATATAACTAGTCATTTTTTGCAATTTTCTTTAAAATCAATCAAATTATATGCTAAGAAATTAAAATTTCATGATCTGGACGTAAACAACATCTATTTCACACATGTCTTACCAGTTCATGGATTAAAAGGAGGAGTGCCATTTTGGGCCTTCTGGTGGCCATGACGATTACTTTTTATTTTTTGTCTATTAAAACCTTGAGGTCAGACGGTAATGACATGACATTAATCTAAGGTCAGCTCAAGGTCGTTCAGTTGTTATAGGGGGGACGAGTGGGGGGATCAAATTCATAATTATTGCAATAATTATCAAACTAAAATATTTTTTTTCAGTTTTTTTCTCTTAAATGTCATTTGATGATATATTTCAAAACCTTCATTAGAAAAAATGACCAAAAATTATGCCATTGTTGAAAAGTAGGTCACTTTAATTAAGTGCCCTATTTACTAATTAAGTCACACTTGAGCAGGGTTTTTTGTCTTAATGCATCTATAAACAATACGTTTATCACATGTAGTGTATTTATTTGAAATATTTTTGCAAATATGGATGATATTAAAATGGAAAAAATCAATTTAACACCGGGTTTCACAGGATCATAAATGACCTTTGTCTATTACTTACGAGATTGTATTTTTGTTTACTGCTTTAGTAAGGGGAATGGTGGTGTTGGGATATTCATTTAGGAGTCACTGTGGCTGTCACAATCTGACCAGTTCTCCACCGTCATTGCGTCATCAACACAACTAAGGAAACTTGAGGAGGCAGTTGTTTGTGCAGTATCAGACTGGTGTCGGTCATAAGAAAGATACCATAGGACAGATGCAATGTGGGCACAGCAGCCGACTACTCTGGCCTCAACCTTACATTGACAATACCAGCCTGATATTGGGGTCAGTCCATTAGAATATTCAATCCAAAGATTGTACACCTTTTTTCATCTCTGGACTTTCCACAAACGAAACAGCGATTCAGTAAGCGTAGCTCGTGGAATATCAAGTTTGATTTTTTTTTGAGTCAGGTGTCTCATTCTGATGGTCTTAACCACTGTTAGAATCCTCTACTGGTTCATGGTATTTGTTGAATCTCCCTCTGCATTTCTTAGATACAGGGTCACCTAAACATAAATCTTTATTGATGTTATCTTTCACGAAAGACAGAACATCTGCCTGATTCAGACAATATATTCTGACTTTATAATCTGCTTTGCAGCAAGCACACTGCTTGTGTACTGGCATTTTACAAAAATAACAAAAAGTTAATTAAAACTAAACAAAATACTATAATACTATTATATATATGTCACACTTGTATGAATGAAATTATATTTAACATTTTAGTGATACACAAGATATGTGCATAAGTCAATGCATGTATGAACTACACAGAACAAAGTATACTTTTATATCTGGATATGCCATGTGTTACATACACTGCATTGTAGATTACTGAAGTTTGCTAGTGTTTGAAACAAGACCATTAACAAGGTATACATCAGAAAGATGTCATGATGTCATACTATTTTATGTTAAAGCTCTAGTGTCAAACCATCTTATGTTAAAGCTCAAGAATACAACTAACGGAAGAATTATTATACTGTGAAATTTATTTGAAGTAATTTTTCATACAGTATAATTCAATATTCATTTGCATTGACCGGAATAAAATAGTGACTTGTGCTCTTGCATTTTAAGTTGTAACTAGTCTATTTAAATGGCATGCCTCTCTTACCCTAACTGCAACTTCTTCATTGCTCTAATTCATGCAAAATATTTCAAATAGATACACTGCACATGATAAACGTATTGTTTATAGATGCATTAAGACAAAACACAGTGCTCAAGGGTGACTTAATTAGTAATTAGGGCACTTAATTACTGTGACCTACTTTTCAACAAAGGCATATTTTTTGGTCCTTTTTACTAATGAAGGTTTTAAAATATATCATCAAATGACATTTAAGAGAAAAAAAACAAAAAAAAAATATTTTAGTTTGATAATTATTGCAATAATTATGAATTTGATCCCCCACTCGTCCCCCCTATAACAACTGAACGGCCTTGAGCTGACCTTAGATTAATGTCATGTCATTACCGCCTGACCTCAAGGTTTTAATAGACAAAAAATAAAAAGTATTCGTCATGGCCACCAGAAGGCCCAAAATGGCACTCCTCCTTTTCAGCATCACGTAAGTGCATCATGGAATAGCAAAAGTATAATCCCAGCAAACACCACCAGCTATATGTAGTACTGTACCTTTTTATAATTAATCAAGACCTGCTGTTGCTAGATATGAGATTTGTAGAAAAGCATTCATTATGGTTTTGTACATTGAGTGAGACAAAGTTACATCATGGCTTTATCCAGATATGAGGTGTTGAATTTCAACTACCTTATTCTGAATTTTCTAAGATTGAAATGAAAGGATGTTTTCATCAGTATTTGTAATTAGTTTTATAAATATTAGACTTTATAATTAGTAGTATCACAGAAGTATTCATTAAAGTCCCAATCATGTGTAGTACCAAAGATTGGAAATTGATTCATTGAAAGTAAAACTTCATATATTCTTCTGAAGAAAATTGACAAGTCTCTTTTAAATTATGTTTGAATTTTTATACAGCAAGCCAAGTTTTTCCAAGTGAGAAGTAGACTCTACACGGAACTGCTGAAATCGCTTTCCTATTCATTCTGGCACACAATGTATTTTTATCCATTCTATTGGATGTTTGGTAAGTCATTACAATGTGTTTCTATCAAAGAGTATTTATATCTGTTTGATGTTTGCTTCAGTTAAATGAAAACCTCTCTCTGTTTTCCAGGACCTATTTTGATTTGTTTCCCCTTCTTGCTTTTATAATCTTAACATTTAGCAGGCTTAGTTACCTTCACATGAAACTGTTTTCCTGAACAGCAGTTCATTTCAACTGTATTTGGAAAAGTACTTATATATAATTCCCCTTGTTTGTATCATAATCTTGTTGAGAGATCTTCTCAGTCAGTTTTCAACTAAAAAATTCTTTTAAACATTGTAGGTTTTGCAATCATAAAATGACTTTGTGTCTTCCTCAGCTTTTAACCGATTTCTCAGAAAGATGCTAGGCTTTATAAATAATACATAAAATTGTGTATTCTTTAATGGGGATGTGAATTTACAATTTTGGCTGTTCCATCTTTCATAACACTGAACCTACATGGAGGTCATGTTAGCTGCACAATCTCCTAAGTTAAGAAATGCATAATTAATGAGCTCTAAATCCTTTTTTTCCACATCATTGTTGTCTTTAATGTAGATGAATGTTACTTGATTGTTCTAACATCATTGTAAACAGGGAAAATAATCTGAAATTTTACATCCACAGCCAGTTCATTCTTATGAGTAAGACAGATTAATGTTTTCTACCTTCTAGTCTGTTACTTAAATGGACCATTCAGTATAATTTCTGTGATATATTTCAAGAAATGAAGTACCTGTTCAAGTACTTTGGCTTGACTCCCAGAAGATCCACAACCATTCTTTCATTGTCATTTCTGAGATTCTTAATTGATCTCATAATAGGGTGAAACATTAATTAGGCAGTAAATGTTTTCATGAAGATGGCTTGTACCAATGACACTATTTTCTAATTAGTAGGGGCAAATATAACCATCTGGAACAATTGCAAAAAATGATATAAAAGTGGTGTGAGTATGCTGATGTTGCTGCTGCAGATGATATTGGTTTTGTATTGAGCAACCAGTTAACATTCTGATGTTTCATTAAATTAGGCTGTACCAAGCACAAAAATCTTCACATGAACAATTTTAGAATTTGTAACTTCAATCTGAACTTGGAAAGAATGAGGATTATAAAGAGGTTTCATCAGTAAAATACAAAAATTTCATCCTCTGAGAGAGTTAACATCATTTGAAACTTGTGGGCATTGCCTGTTTTATTGATGTTGATAATAACACATTGTTGCCTGACCAATAAGAAATATGTCTCTCCATCAAATTAAGGGAGGAAGTTTAGTACTCTGTATCTTAGTTTGGTTCCTATTACTTTTAGTCTTTGCTGTAACTTAAACTGTCAATGTTATCTTAATGAAAGATGATATACACCTTTATTACCTGAAGCTGATGTGCAGTGCACTGCTATGAGGTCGCTGTAACATTGACCTGAAGGTCAAGAGTCAACTTAGAACCCTGTCAAACTGCAAGCAAAGTATTAAAGTCTTTTTTAAGGATTTCTCTAACAGTGCAGTGTTCTATAGATACAGTTATTTGAGTCATCCAGTAATGTATCCCTTATATACATATTGCATCAGTACCAGTTCTTTTAAGAATTTCTTGTCCTCAAGGTCAAAGGTTGAAAAGGGCTAAATATCCCGATTATCTCTTGTTTGGGTGATAACTCTTACACTGTTAACAATATCCGAATGAAAAGAACTGTAGACCTTTATCATTGACTGAAAAAATGCAATCGTATTGGATCTCTGCCTTTAACCTCAAAATTAAAGGTCAGACTTATCAACATTGTTAAGAGTAGCACAATATCAAATAAATAACAACAGTGTTTTTTCATTTGTATTCTTGTTCACCCAATCTACTACAAAAACTGTACATATACAGCTTTGTTACTGGGGAGGGAGATGATTTTGGTGGAGTATCTTATTATGGTTTTATTTTTCAGGTCATATTCCAAAAGACATTGTTATACAACATTCATCAGTATTAAGGTAAGTGACAACTGTTTTACAACATACCTCAGTATTAGTGTGATAACTATTTTACATCATACTTCAGTATTAGTGTGACAACTGTTTTACAACATTCATCAGTATTAGTGTGACAAGTTTTTAACAACATTCATCAGTAAAAGTGTGACAACTGTTTTACAACATTCATCAGTATTAGTGTGAATACTGTTTTACAACATTCATCGGTATTAGTGTGATAACTATTTTACATCATACCTCAGTATACGTGTAGGTGACAACTGTTTTACAACATTCTTACAGCTCTGAGATAGCACTTAACTCAGTATGGGGCCTGTTTGATGTGTCTCTCCTGTACCAGACTTTCCTGTGTGGTGTGTTCCTCTACTTTACTTGGACTGTTAGCAGTGTGCTGTACAAGATCTACAACACAGAGGTAATACAAGTCAACCAACACTTTTGTCAAATTATTGGTTATTTGTTATTTGTAAACAATACTATTGTCATTGCTATTTCACTTGTCTAAAGCCAGGGCTCTCGATCTGCCAGATATGGGGCCAATATTCGGCCCCATTCCCAATGCAAAATATTATCTTTTTTTTTTCCAATTCAGACCCCAAGTTTTCCCAATTCTAAGTAAAACAATGTTATTTTTCCCAATTCTTAGGAAAACAATGTTATTTTTCCCAATTCTAAGGGCCCCGGACCCCAATCCAGAAATGGGGTGTGAGAGCCCTGAAAGCTGTCTGAGTTACTGTATAGTTGATGTTTCTGGTAGGATATTTAATTTCACTATATTCCCATTTATCAAAGAAAACGAAACAGAAATGAATGCAAATACTCAGCAGATATTTAGCATAAATCAAAATGCAAGGAAATAAATGTTATATGCATACGGATACCAATATAATGACAAAATTTCATCATTGTGAAATAGACTACCGTAAATTTCCGTGTATAGTGCACGCTTTTTCAAACTAAAACGTGTCAAAAAGGGGGTACGCATTATACGCAGGAACATGCAGGTTATCATTCCGAGTTCTGCGTCTGCCATATTGGATTACCCTTCACATAGTTATATGTAAAAGTCATCGGTCATATATGATAGTTGGGAGATAAAAACAACAAAAAAAATAAATAAAATTCGAATGTTTTAATCATCGGCCATACACGCTGGCATTACGGTGAATCTAATTTTTGTTTTCGTTTCCCGTTGTTCGAATAGTAGTGTCTGAATTTCCGCCTGATTTTGATGATGTATCTCTGTTGTTCTGTTCATAAATCGGACAGCCCATCCCACCAAGTTGGTGACCCTATGACCTCTCTTGATCTGCATGGCCCGCACGCGCAGTTCTGTTGTACTGGCAGCGATGCCGGCATCTCGGTGATCGCATACAAAGTTGAACAGCTCTCTCTCCATCTCTGGGTGTTTCACTGTCGTATCTATGTCAGCCCTTCTGGTCAGTGGTTGGGACTTTAAACGGTCTTTTTTTCTTCCGTGCCTTGATATTTCACTCTGGAATGTCGAAGTGGCGACCGGCGGCACGAAACTCAAGTCTCTCGGCGTAGTCAATAGCGTCCAGTTTTTCTTTCGCTGTAATGATGTTTGCTGTTTCCCCATGTCGAAGTCGGTGTAAACAATCTATAATTACGTACCTTCGGAGACCGCGGTAGGTACAGATATGGGGACAAGGTAGGATTGAAACTTTTCAGACAGTTCAAACAACATCGTTTTCTGAGCAATAGTACGTGTTCAGCCCAAGCCGGGTGTCATCAATCTCCTCATACTCAGCGTGTTACCTGTTGAGAACCATTAATTATCCAATTAGCCAAGCCTTTCACACTTGTTAAGTCAGGCACCTGTGTGAATTTGTTTACATAAGGTAATTAAATATGTTAGGGTCACGATAGTTGTGGTTTCCTAATTATCAATGGATCAAACCACATCAACTGTTTCATCGCTGTAACCAGTAATCAATTAATCTTTCTGTAGAAAACTTTTCTTTTTTTTTTAATCTGACCCCAAAAAAGTACCTGCGCACTATACCCGAGTATTTATGGTAAATAGGAACATAGGAACATTTGCGAAAGATTAGCCCTTGGAAATTGAACAACTATACAATATATATACCGTAGGTACCCGACTATAAGTCTCTCTCGCTTATAAGTCGCACCCCCCTTTTTCAGCTGTCAATTCTTGGGTTTTCACCTAGGACCAAACTATAAGTTGCATCCAACATTTTGACAAATTCTGGGCTTGCATATGTTTCATCCCAACATGTATAAATTGCATACACTCCGTACTGAACTCGAGAACTTTACAACGGCATAAATCAAATTAAAACACAAGAAAGAAAGAAAGATGACAAAAATACGATGGTATTGGTGATATCTTTTACTTATTGTGTATAAAAAAGCAGTCGGACATGGTTTTTTGTTGTTGTTTTCTAAGCGTGAGCAAATTGGGTTTTCAATATGAAGCGTATTTGGGATATCAGTAAAAACCGGTAAAAACCAGAAATGTCGGGTAGGTTGGAGCTTCGTCCCGTCAGCGAGACAGAATAACGGTGAAGTGCACCTTGTCGCTGCCGGTTGTTTTGACTGTCACGGTGTCGGTGCCTTTGATGTCTACAGTTCTGCTGGCTGGCATGTTGTTTCGTACATGTTTCCTAGTTCTTTCTCAGATCAATGACATATGCTTGAAGGCTGTTTTTTTTTATCAGCAATACGACCCATCTTCAATTTGGCCAATCAATTTGGAAATGTCAACGTCATTTAACTAGTAGTCCAGCCCATCAACACATTTCACCCAATCAGGAACAACTTTGTGCAAACATGGTTGGGTACCAGTAATGCTAAATGGCTTCTTGAAAAGGCGGTGTTTTCACAGCAATCAACACTGTGAAAAGAACCCTCCTCAAACTGTCACAGTTTGACACATGCCTGTGTTTATAATTAGTGTTGAAAGGGTAAAGATCCACGTAACACATTTATAGACACAAGACGAAATGTAATCAGGTTCGTGATGTTGTTGTCTGCAATCGGGTGTCATTAATTTGTTTGACAAAATGACGAAGCCACATAAAATCAAATTACCTTTATTTCTCAAAATCGTATTGAATTATAATCCCAGAAGGTAATGTTTTGAATAATAATAACCATAACGAGTAATTAATTAACTTATTAGAACTCGTATGCTAGTTTTGTTATTTATTTTTTCCAAGACAAAGAAAGAATACCCACATATGTTATACAGGGCCGCGATCTAAACGATCTCAATATGGCGTCCATACTGAATAACAAACTCAGCGTGTTTACTTTTTACAGATTATTTACACATTTTAAGCAAGTAAAGAAATTCTGTTGTAAGTTAACGTTTTCTGTTTAAATTTCTTTATGGCAAATCCTGTAGTTCAACTTTTTTTATCTCTTCTGACCATTTTCCATCAGTAAAACCGTGGAAGTCATATATGGCCTTTGAAGTCGGTATTTCTGTCACTCGGAATGCTGTTTTCCTGTGAAAATTTTAAGATGTGATTGTTATATCTCGCTTATAAGACACACCCTACTTCAAACTGAATTTTGATGGGAAAAAAGTGTGTCTTATAGTCGGGTACGTACGGTAATTTATGGTACTGTCATTGAAAACATGATAAACATTTTGGTTGACATAACATTTTATTTTTTCTGTACTGAACGATAACGACATATGTTATGTAATGTGAAAATGTTACTTTTTGTAGCATTATGCATTTCCTGTAGAAGATGTCTTTGATGATCAGAAAAATAAATGCCTTGTTGACGCCTTGTCTTGTAATACTAACAGTTTACTGCAGGTAAGTTACCATTCATTTTGATAGCAAACATTTTATGACATCATCTTTTGGGAATTCAAAATGGTTAAAAGCCATTAATGTGTTTCGTAACCATTCAATATTAAGGATTGCATTCTAAAGTCTCACAGTTTGTTAATCTAGTCATATCCATGTACTTATATACAGTTAAGTAGCATTCTGGGAAAGCCAAGAAGGGTAAGAAAACTATCTGTAGATGAAGTAATATAAAAGCGCTATATTAATTTTGGGACTCAATATTCATGCTTTTTCAAACCTCATAATATGTTTCCATTTGATTTCCTATATAAATAAAGATCAATAAATCTGCTAATTTTAACAATGGAAATAAATGCTCGATGTTGTATTTTGTGTTTACAGTGTCTGGGATTCTATGATTTGTGCCACTTATCCAGAAAGTGTGGCGTAAGGAGAAGTGTTGTGTTTAGTCTGAGTCAGCCAGGTTGGTAATCCATCAAATGTTGTTTATGAAGATTGGATATAATTTTCTACTTTGAAGCTTTATATCTTTCACTAGGAACAGTAGATACCGCTGTTGTGAAGGAATGTTTACCTATTCCTGGAAAATTTTACTGTTTCATGTTTATAGGCATTAAATACTTTATTACATAGTGGTAATATTTTAGGTATTGTTGATAGATGTGCTTGATAATGAAGGCGTATTATTGTACATCAGATACTTCCTACCTCTAGAATTAACCATTACAATGAATACTCCTGGTAGGCAATGAATATTTCAGGTGGTCATCCCCACAACTGGAACAAGTTGTATTCAGCTTGTGTGGCTGAAGTCAATGCCCTCAACCAGAAAGTACAGGAAGCCAACTGGAGAGTATTTGCTAGTGTTCCAGTTAGACAGGCCAGTGGTGAGAAAAACCTACCTTCAACACCAGCAGGTGATTGTAATTTGCTTTCTGAAGCAAACATGTGAAAACTGTGAAAATGTTTCCTGATAAAATGTGAAAGCATTTTGTGATTTACTTAGATATCCAGATTATATTAACAGAACTCAGAAACTGACTTTAATATCACAAACAACTCCATGATTGGATCACTTAGTCATAAGCAGTGTAGCTGTGTTAGAGTAATATATCAAAAATCTCACCTATATGAATTCCAACATGATTGAATATGAGAGTTTTACAAATGACCCAGAATAAGATTTATGTTATATTCCTAATCATGTCAGTGTGAGAGAGAGAGAAAAAACAATCTTTTCAGCAGAGAGAACTACTGCAACGTTGTCTTACCGAGGGACCACAAATGTCACCGATGGGAATCCAAGTCTGCCTGTTGATAAGCCATCATCCAATGTGCAGACTTTCAAAGATCTGGTTTGTATTGTTTCTAATAAATGAAAATAAAACAATTCTTTAATTGTAATCTTTTATTGCCAAATATGAAATTAGAACATTTTTGTACAGACGTAAAACAATGTTTTCAATACAATTTCTACAAATGTGCATTACAAAATCCTGAATCATTGCTACCTTTATCATATGTAATGTCATATATGAGCATTTCTGTAACAGTTGATCAAGGTTATAAGGCTACCCCTGGTGTCAGTTGATTATATCGATGTGCTGTTATATGTTACTTGTAGACTCTAGTGTATCTAAAGAAGAAACCCGTTTTCAGTTATTTCCTGTCGGAGTTGCCTGATTCTAAAAGCAGAAAGCTTTTTGCTACATGTCAAGTACAAGTTTGGGCAGTTGAAGGTATTATTCCTAAAAAATGTGCTATAGCGAAATGGTTTGAAAGCTACACTTTACATAGAGGGTATTAGTGGTTAGCTATAAATTCAATCACTTTAAGACATTGAAATGTCATTTTTATGCCAGTTATGTGAATATGAAGTATATCTGTAAGATATATCATTCATTACTGGACGACTAGTGAGACAATCAGATTATTTGGGAATGCATCAACGAGACAGTATATATGTTGTAAGTTGTGTATTGAATGTATTGAATGATAAGTTAATTTCATTGATAATTTTTAGCTTTGTCCAACTTTGCCACTGCCTCCTATACTGATGATAAATATGGTGTAGTCCAAAGATCCCTACCAGAAATTGTTACTGCAATCGTGAATTTACAGGAGGTGAGTTCTCAAAAACTTCTTTCGTTCTTGAAAAAATTAATTCAGATGTTTCTGTCTCATTGTTTGGTTTTATTGTGGTAACATATATATATGATATTATATAAATCATGTGTACGCTCTGAAAGTCTGAAGTTTGTATATAGTTTTGCTGTTGTCTTACTATATCTTTGTATCATCCTGTTCTATTCTGTCTATTCAAATGTTTCTGACAGACATGGAGAATACATGGTCAATGTCTTTATATAGAAGCTGTATTTAGTTCGGTAAAGAGAAATACAAAAAGCAGCAAGCCTCTGGTGAGCCACTTTCCTCTCTCAAACTGCAGCTTGTATTTTAAAACTCTGGCCATGTATTCATTTTGTTTTACAACTTTTATTGAAAATTCAGATAATCAAACTCGAACAGTTTGTTGTGCCTATTCAGTTTTTGTTTATGTGACGTTGATGTGACGTTGATTGTGCCTGATGATTACCTCACATGGAAATAAAGTTCCACACTTATAACAATACATTTCATGAATTTCCATTTACTTTTGTTTGTTACACCTATTGCAATTGCTTATTTAAACAGTTATTTGAATGTTTAAATGAAATATTTAAGTATGTCTGAAAATTATTCCGTTGAACTAATGCACACGCTAAAATCTCTCGTGATGGTAAAAGTTTTCATACTGAAATTATACCTATCTATATAGAGTGATGTTCACTGCTGTTCTCTTGACTCATCAGTTATACTCGTGCCTTCTATTATTGCAAATATTGTTTGTTGCTTTGCCTTGGTAAAATCTTGTGACATTTTATTATCATAACCGTTTTTTTTCTTCAATTTCCTCTCAAGATGATAAGGCGTCTTGCATGTATGATTTGCTCTTAAGCCTGATGTATGGAGAGTTATGGCTCTTTGTTCTGCATTGCTAACAAGTCTTGTCCAGAGGTTGAGGGCAATAGAAATTTTTTGCAATGATTTGTTTTTCTTCTTTTGTCATATAAAATTGAAACATAGAAGCCAGTTTTTTTTTTCAAAGTTTTGGTACAATATATTTTTTTTCTGATTATTTTGGAAATGTAATAAGATCAATGTTTACAATAACATCTGATTGTCCGGTGTATAATGAAAAAGTCTTGATTTCCAACTTACAGAATGTTGAAAAACATTTTAAATTGGCCACAGCAACGAGTCGTCGGAATCAGAGAGACCTGGGACATTATGACACTCAGCTCGGATATCTGTTACAGACAACACTGAAAAGTTCCATGTACAAAATCGTAAACACTTTCGGAAAACATATATTGTAAGTGTGTTGTGAATATGCTATATTGTTTGTACAAGTCATAATTGTTTTCACAGCATGCACTTAATAATTTTTTTTTCTTATTTTTTGTCTTCTTGATATATATGCATTAAGAAAAATATTAGGAAAGCGTATGCTTTCACATCATTACGATATTACTTTACTCTGACATTACAAAGATGGTATGGTGTTGATATTTTGGATGAATTGATTACTGAATGACTTTGTGATCAAAATGACCATTAACACACAAAATAGAAATATTGTTTTTAGAGAATTCCGCTTTCTTTCTGGAAATTTTAAAAGTAAATTATAAAGAACTGCTCAATACAAAGAATATGACAATAGAAAAAGGTTAGAATTTCTTTCTTTGTTTGCTGTAACATACTAATTTATTGTTTGAGACAACTGTCTGATTGCTTTTTCAGAAGCCTTAATCTTTCTCCAGAATGTGTGAGGAAGCTTAGACTATTTATGGACTACAAGGAGTGACACCAAGAAAAATTTATTTGATTGCTAACAGAAAAATCTATGATGATAACTATAATGGGAGAAGTCACACCTTGATTACATGTTAAAGAGTTGAAATATCTACAAGATAAATACTGTATCAGGATCTATCTATACATGTATATTGTGTCTAGATGTGTTGATGTAAGTGCTGTGATTAAGTGACTTCATTATTGTTAAAAAGGTATTGAAGGCTTTACCTATACATGGTACTTATGATAGACTGATATGTGGAGATTTGGCCATAGCTAGTGCCTGTGATGAAAGTGACGATGGTTAATCATGTCTGATCAAATTAAGGCAGTATATATTGTCTTAATTTTAAATTTGAATTATTGAAAATATATGAAGAATTCTATTATTGGTGCTGGTTGAACATGCCATTGATGATGCAACCTCTTGAAGCAAAAACAATATCTATGTGAACAGTTCATCTTTGTAAATTACTGACTACACATGACTTATAATAATCAAAGCAATAGATGGAAATAGAAAAGAAGTGATTACATGTAGTCCAGGATTTGTGTGCATAAATATTGCTTGTGTAAATTTTGTATAAAAAAAGGCCATGCTGTTACAAAATCCTACTTTGGTTCTGGTAAAGCTAACTGTAGTTATTGAAGAAGACTATACCAGACTACTGGATAGTAATCAGTATGTCAATTTCTTGTGAAACCTACTTCCTTATTGGAGAGTTTTTCTTTCTGATGTTATTTGGCATATATTCTATTACTGTCACAAAAATAGTGTTGCTTTTGAAAATTAAACATATTTGAAGAACAGCTATCACACTATTTACTTATATAGCCTATCTTTGTTTGGTTTTGAACTGATTTCAGACATTTTTCATCTCATGATATGTTAATTGCTCCCGTCTGTGGAGTGTCCATCATTCCCTACTTTTGTCTGCATGCTCATGAACAATTCATGCTATCACGAATTCTTTAAAAGTGCTTAATTGATCTTTCTCAGATTTCAAATGTAGAGTCTCCTCAGCCCATTGTGCATGATCAATTTTGGGACTGAAAGAAAAATAATTTGGCTGGCAGGTGACCATCTTTGATTTTGACAATAAAAATTTCATGGAAGTAAGGTATAAATCTTTCCCAAATTTAAGATGTTCCTTGGGTAGTTTTCTCTTGGTCCCTAATTGTACCCATTTGATTTGGGATTAATCAGAAAAACAAAATGGCTGACATCCCACCATCTCAGTTTTGAACCATGAAAGATTGTGCTCTTTTTCTAGAGGTATACTGAATGGGTCTTGTCATGTTTTATAAATAGGTTCCCTGGTCTTTTATTGTGCCTTTTGATTTTGGACTGATCAGAAAAACAAAATGGCTGACTGGTGGCCATTATGGATTCACTATTTCTTGAGAGGGAATTTAATTTTGGAACTGATGGAAACATTTTTAAAAAATCAAAATGACTGACAGGTAGCGGTGATTAACATAGTATTATTGCAGCAATGATTTATGTTTATTTCCAGAATACGTTTACCTCCAGCAATTACATAATATATGTTAATATGTAGGATATATCAATATATCATAGCAGGTTATAACCTCATTCTACCACTGTGTTGGTACTTTGTTGTAGATAAATTTTCATTCTTGGATATTTTTGGTTATTGTTTGGAGTTGTCAACAAGTAATTGTTACCCATTGCCATGGAAACATATTTAGAAAAGAATTGATAAGTATCCAAACTCATTTCTAGACTGTTCTATTATGGGTCCGTCGTCAAATTGCTATGTGTAATGAATGATTATGGTCATGCAGTAACCTATTTTGATCAAATTTGCTTGGAAGCATCCTAGGGGGCAGGAGAACCATGTTTGTGTAAATATTGGTCTTAAGCAATCTTTGGTGAAAAGAAAACAATCATGTGTAAGCATAAGGTCTCGGTCCTTTGGGGCAAGAGGGGCGAGTCCTAATAGGGAAAATAGAATGAATTCTTTAAAATCCTTCTCCTCCAGGAGAGATGAATGAATATTGCTCAAATTTGGTCTGAAGCATTTTTAGGTGAAGAGGAATCGGTTTTGCTAGGTGATTGATAATGGCCCTACAGGCACTCAGATTGTTGCTGTTCACAATATCAGTGCACAGATAATGGGTAATGGTCAGTCATTTTCCTGAAAACCATCAATACCTTATTTTGCACACTGATAGGTTTTGAATAAGTAACATTTTTGAGGTGTGCAGTTTTATGCATGAAATAAATGAGCAGATATGTTGATTAAAATACTACCCTATGTAGATGGATGAGGAGAACATCTTCTGGATCTGTTTGATGTTATTTAGATGTGTTTACTTACTAGATCAGTGAGGAAGATTAATGAAAAATAATGGTGTTTACCAAAATTCTTTTAAATACTTACCAAGATTGATTTTTCACCTCTCTAGATTTTGATGTTATTTGAATTATGATTTTTCTTAAAATTCACCACAGGGTTCACTTGATTAAGTGACATAAATCATATCAACTGATTGGAATTCTGAGCCTATGAATTAGAATCAGCAATATTCAAAATGTTATTTTAAGAAATTAAAGGTCACCAGCCACCTCCTTTCAGTTTGGAGAAGCAAAGTCGTTAATTAAAATAAACATTGAAAACTCAATAACAGTGGTCTTTAGGAACAAACAAACAAATTAAAGGGAGGTGAATTTCTCAGGATGAAAACTGGTAAATATTTCTTAAAAAATAGACATGTTGGCTTGAAATGTCCATTTTTCTTTTATTTTAAATGGCATATATTTTGTGTTTCAGAACTTTTGTCATATTTATGAATTATTGCTGAGAAAGTCAAGTTAATGAGAAGTACACAACTAAAGAATATGTACATTATAAAAAGCATTTTAATATAAGGGTAGATCATCCTGTACACAGCTTAAAATAGGACAAAAATAATTATTCCTCTTTTGGGGTAAAAAACATTAAATTTGATGGATTTTTCTATTCGTTGATAACACCATCAATAGATATTGCATTCATTTCTGGTTTGTACACACTTTCAATAAACACTTTAACCATTAACATTAAAAATGTATATTTGTTTTGCATACATCAAGGGGACTAAATTGTTAGATTTTTATTTCATAACTGATGACAATCATTATAGAATTTAAATATCTGTTAAAAGTTGTGCACTTTCTGTTAATTATAATTTTTAAAAGTTGGCATAGCCACTTTATTTAATCATCAGAAAATTGAAATAGGAGCAACTCAACACTAATTCATATCATTTTTGTTTGGAGAGTGTAAACAATATCTTTGCACATGCATTTAGAAATCATAATAAAGCGATGGGTTAAAACAAGGTTTCAAAGGGCCATGCGATGGACTCGCCTATCTCCGATTAAAAGAGTGAATGGCAGTAGGCACAACAGCAAGTGTCAATCAGTGTTAGTTTAAAGCTGATAATCTTTATCAATTTTTCTCAAAAAATGCTCAAATTTTGTGATTATTTTTCAGTATTACACTGCTTGCCCGAAATCAAATGCACAGAAAAAAATGATGAAATCTAACCATTTAGTCACTTCAAGAATACTTTTTTTCCACAATATTTTTCTTTCTTTTTGGTTTTTTACACGAGATATTTGCTTCAGCCTATCGATCAGGATATTGGTGTATACAATAGAAAAATTCCCAACTTCTTTCATAATTTCCTTCTGATTTTGAAGTCGGGACATTTTCAGGAACCCATCATTGTTGTTCTGACCAAAAAAAATGAATGAGCTCAACTGTGAACCAGGAGATGATTGCATATTAATTATGAAAGAAAGTCATCCTGTTCTTTCTGAAAACATGTTAACATTCTTCAAACACCAGGCGGGTTGCTTGTTCATCTAAACTTTAAGAGGAATTGGCTGTCATGAAATTTGAAAATTTCACATCCTGTGCTGGTGCACCACAAACAACTGCAGCAAGCAATTTAAATCTGAGATTTCTCAGTATCAGAATTGAAGACAGCAACATTGGAGCCATTTGTTCTTCAATCAGTTTCAAAATTCAAGAACCACTTTTGTCTTGAAGAGCAGACATATCTAGTGCTCTTGTAATGAGCTAAATAAACTTTTGAAATATCAATGGCAAGTTTTATTTTGAAAGATCTTTGATAATCTGCTAAATAACTAAAAGATCTAGGATTTTCGTTTGTGGCTAGTGGCTATAAAATTCCTACCTAATTTCAAGTTCAGTTGGGCTAAAATTTAAAGCTATGAATTTTTTGTAAACTGTAAGGTCATCATCAAATCACTTTTGATGTTATCAGGGTATTTATATATCTGTACAGCTCCTGTCAACTATCACTGATTCTGGGTTTGATAGTTATAGTCTGAACATAGTTTCTGGGTTTCATATGCAAACAAGATTTAATCTAAACCAGAGTCCTGTTACAGACAGTGGTCAGAAGTAAGTGATGTGGGTGCTACTTACCATTCCATGAAGGCCAGCAGTGACATGTGACATTGATACCATTCCATGAAGGACAACAGTGACCTGTAACAATGATACCATTCCATGAAGGGCAGCAGTGACTTGTGACAATGATACCATTCAATGAAGGCCAGCAGTGACTTGTGACTGTGATACAATTCCATGAAGGCCAGCAGTGACTTGTGACAATGATACAATTCCATGAAAGTCAGCAGTGACTTGTGACAATGATACCATTCAATGAAGGCCAGCAGTAACTTGTGACTGTGATACCATTCAATGAAGGCCAGCAGTGACTTGTGACAATGATACCATTCCATGAAGGACAGCTGTGACTTTTGACAATGATACCATTCCATGAAGGACAGCTGTGACTTTTGACAATGATACCATTCCATGAAGGACAGTTGTGAATTTTGACAATGATACCCATTCCATGAAGGACAGCAGTGACTTGTGACAATGATACCATTCCATGAAGGACAGCTGTGACTTTTGACAATGATACCATTCCATGAAGGACAGCTGTGACTTTTGACAATGATACCATTCCATGAAGGACAGCTGTGACTTTTGACAATGATACCATTCCATGAAAGTCAGCAGTGACTTGTGACAATGATACCATTCCATGAAGAACAGCAGTGACCTCTGACAATAATACCATTCAATGAAGGACAGCAGTGACTTGTGACAATGATACCATTCCATGAAGGCAAGCACTGATTTATGACAATGATACCATTCAATGAAGGACGGCAATCACTTGTGACAATGATACCATTCCATGAAGGCCAGCAGTAAGTTGTGACAGTGATACCATTAAATGAAGACCAGCAGTGACTTGTGACAATGATACCATTCCATGAAGGCCATCTGTAACTTGTGACTGTGATACCATTCAATGAAGGACAACAGTGACCTCTGACAATGATACCATTCAAAGAAGGACTGCAGTGACTTGTGACAATGATACCATTCCATGAGGGACAGCAGTGACTTGACAACTATACCATTCCATGAAGTGCAGCAGTGACTTGTGACAATGATATTCTTTGAAGGAGAGCAGTGACTTGTATCAGTGATAGCATTCAATGAAGACCAGCAGTGACTTGTGACAATATTACCATTTCATCAAGGACAGCAGTGACCTGTGACACTGATACCATTCAATGAAAGACAACAGTGACTTGTGACAATGATACCTTTCTATGAAGGACAACAGTGACTTGTGACAATGAAACCATTCCATGAAGGACAGCAGTGACTTGTAACAATAATAACACTCCATGAAGGTCAGAAGCGACTTGTGCAAATGATAACACTCCATGAAGGACAGCAATGACTTGTAACAATGATGCATTCAATGAAGGCCAGCAGTGACTTGTGACAATGATATAATTCAATGAAGGACAGCAGTGACTTGTGACAATGATACCATTCAATGAAGGACTTTTGACAATGACAATGACTTGTGACAATGATACCATTCCATGAAGGACAGCAGTGACTTGTGACAATGATACAATTCAATGAAGGACAGCAGTGACTTGTGACAATGATATCACCAGCCAAGTGACTTGTGACAATCAATGAAGACCAGCAGTAACTTGTGACAATGATACCATTCCATTAAGGGCAGCAGTGACTTGTGATACAATATGATACCATTTCATGAAGGCCAGCAGTGACTTGTGACATGATTGCATTCAATACCAGCAGTGACTTGTGACAATGATACCATTTCATGAAGGACAGCAGTGACTTGTGACAATGATACCATTCAATGAAGGACAGCAGTGACTTGTGACAATGATACCATTTCATGAAGGACAGCAGTGACTTGTGACAATGATACCATTCAATGAAGGACTGCAGTGACTTGTGACAATGATACCATTTCATCAAGGACAGCAGTAAATTGTGACAATGATACCATTCAATGAAGGACAACAGTGACCTGTGACAATGATACCATTCCATGAAGGCCAGCAGTGACTTGTGACAGTGATACCATTCCATGAAGGACAGCAGTGACTTGTGACAATGATACCATTCCATGAAGGACAGCAGTGACTTGTGACAATGATACCATTCCATGAAGGACAGCAGTGACTTGTGACAATGATACCATTCCATGAAGGACAGCAGTGACTTGTGACAATGATACCATTCCATGAAGGACAGCAGTGACTTGTGACAATGATACCATTCCATGAAGGACAAGTGACTTGTGACAATGATACCATTCCATGAAGGACAGCAGTGACTTGTGACAATGATACCATTCCATGAAGGACAGCAGTGACTTGTGACAATGATACCATTCCATGAAGGACAGCAGTGACTTGTGACAATGATACCATTCCATGAAGGACAGCACTGATTTCTGACAATGATACCATTCAATGAAGGACAGCAGTGACTTGTGACAATGATACCATTCCATGAAGGACAGCAGTGACTTGTGACAATGATACCATTCCATGAAGGACAGCAGTGACTTGTGACAATGATACCATTCCATGAAGGACAGCAGTGACTTGTGACAATGATACCATTCCATGAAGGCCAGCAGTGATTTTTGACAATGATACCATTCCATGAAGGCCAGCAGTGACTTTTTACTATGATACCATTCAATGAAGGACAGCAGTGACTTTTGACAATGATACCATTCCATGAAGGACAGCAGGGACTTGTGACAATAATACAATTCCATGAAGGCAAGCAATGATTCATGACAGTGATACCATTCCATGAAGGTCAGCAGTGACTTTTGACAACTATACCATTCCATAAAAGTCAGCATTGACTTGTGACAGTGATACCATTCAATGAAGGACAGTTGTGACTTGTGACCATTATACCATTCCTTGAAGGACAGCAGTTACTTGTGACAATGATACCATTCCATGAACGACAGCAGTGACTTGTGACAATGATACCATTCCATGAAGGGCAGCAGTAACTTGTGACTGTGATACCATTCAATGAAGGCCAGCAGTGACTTGTGACAATGATACCATTCCATGAAGGACAGCTGTGACTTTTGACAATGATACCATTCCATGAAGGACAGCAGTGACTTGTGACAATGATACCATTCCATGAAGGACAGCAGTTACTTGTGACAATGATACCATTCTTGTGACAATGAAGGGCAGCAGTGACTTGTGACAATGATACCATTCAATGAAGGCCAGCAGTGACTTGTGACTGTGATACAGTTCCATGACGGCCAGCAGTAACTTGTTACTGTGCTACCATTCCATGAAGGAAAGCAGTGACTTGTATCAGTGATTGCATTCAATGAAGATCTGCATTGATTTGTGACAATGATACCATTTCATCAAGGACAGCAGTGACTTGTGACAATGATACCATTCAATGAAGGACAACAGTGACCTGTGACAATGATACCATTCAACAGTGACTTGTGACTGTGATACAATTCCATGAAGGCCAGCAGTGACTTGTGACAATGATACCATTCAATGAAGGACAGCAGTGACTTATGACAATGATACCATTCCATGAAGGCAAGCACTGATTTATGACATTGATAGCATTCAATGA